GGGGGCTAGGCAAGCTGACTTGTTCTAAGAGGACACTGGGGTGACAGAGACAAACACAGGCCAAAAGGGAGGCTCATGGGATGGCAGAGACAGAGCGAGATGTGCCTAAAACAGCCCCAGAGCAACAAAGACAGCAGACACCTCCAGATGCTGAGAGGCAGGGTGGCCTCAGCTGTGCCCCCCTGCTGCTGCACACATGGGCATGGCATTCATATCTGTTAAGTGGGCATGGTGCACACCCCACTCGAGAGATTCGTGAGCTGTGGTGAGCACAAGTGCCAGCTTTGGGAGCTTGGAGCCTCCAGCTCACCCCAACCCCTGACCATCTGCTGGGCCGTGCATGAGAGGCCAGGGTCCCTCTGGCCTCTGGGGCTTCTCCCCTCTGTGCTCCTTACCACTGCACACTTCCCTTCTGCACTGGCTCACCCATCCCCACTCCCTCCATCTATGTGCAGGCCTCTCCTGGGCGCCACTCATCTGGGACACTCCACACTCCCTCATTGCAGCTGACACTGCTGCTCCACTTCCTGGGGACAAAGACCCGGTCTTTGGGAGCAAGGGAGGAGCTGGTAAGGATTCAAGGCTGGAGGAGGTCCTCTCCTGCAGTGCGGGACCTGATGCTGGAGAAGCACCAGACAGTGGCCTCAGGGAGGAAGGATCAAGCAGCTCAAAAAGTCTAGGAGAAGGTCAGGTTTCCCTTTTGGGGGCCTTTGCCCTCTGGCCAGCAGCACTATGGTGCTGTCTAGGCTAAGAAAACCCTTCATACCCACCAGGAAGTGCAATGGTGTCCCATATGTTAAAAAGCACACAGAACAGTGTCCCTTTGCATAAAATTGTATTGTCATGTGAAATGGGCATTCATAACTTGCTGACTTGGAAATGACCTATTAGGCCACACAGAGTCCGGCCCCTGGGGGCCAAAGCCATGCCAATGCCCACACACCATGGCAGATGCCTTCTGTGGGTCCTAGTGTAGACACCTGGCTCTCCCTAGGCTCTGCAGCTGGGTGCTGGGAGAGGCCAGCTCATGTCCCAAACTCTTTAGCTCCTGGGCAGCAATTCTCTCAAATCACGAGCTTCCTGGTGGGTTAATAGCTATTCCTGGAGAAGAGTCCTGTGGTCAAATAACTTTAGGAAACTCGGAATTAAATGGCTCGAACAGCTGGCTTTTCTAGAGGACTTTTCAGAGCCTCTACAACAATTAAGCCCTTATGAACATCCATCGTGGGAGCTGAGTGTGCAGCACTTCCCAGATGTATTGGACTACAACCCTCCTCCCTCCGGAAGCATCTTGCAGGCTGGGGCCTCTGAGCATCCTTTGGGACATGCTGCCCTAAGCTGTCAGTGACCATTGCTGGATTGGCCCCTGTGTTGGGTTAGGAGGTTGGAGGATTTTGCTGAGCTTGGTGCTGAGGTGTGTGGTAGAGAAGAAGAAAGCTATGGCAGCCATAAGGGGACAAGACAAGGCTCTGCCCCCTCCCGCAGCCATCTTGTTCTTATCTGTGGTGTCCAGGAATGGAGGCTTAGAGGGACTTCCCCGTTTGAGTCACCCTGGCTGCCTCAGAGGACAATGAGTTCAAGCGAAAGAGACATGAGGCCCCACAGTACCAACATGCCAGTCACTCAGACTGGATGAGGTCACCAGCCTCCAACCAGGATGGGGAAGTTTAGTCAGGGTGGGTCTGCCCATTCAGACCGACCCCACTGACAATCCTCTAGCCGCCTCTCTGGGGCCAGCGCTGCCCAGAGCCTGGGAGGGTAGCAAGATGCTCACCAGGCGGAGATAAGCATCTGACAGGTGTTGGAAGACATCCACACAAGTTCCACCAGGCGGAACTGGAAGTAGCCGATGATGAAGCCCGAGATGACGTCTGTGATGTGGTGGCGTCCAATCATCACACGAGACAGGCCCACGCAGAAGGCCCAGAGCACCAGCAGTATGCGCAGGGGCACGGCCAGCACCAGGTGGCTCAGGAAGAACTTGGACACCATGGCAGCACGGCTGGCATGGCCGGCAGGGAAGGCATAGATGTCCATGGTGAGGTAGTCCAGGAGCCCCGGACTTGTCTCGTAAGGGCCACGTCGCTTGATGAGCTTTTGGACACCGGCCACCGTCATGATGTCAAGGAGTAGAGCTGTGGGTGGGCGACAGAGGCCTGGGTGTTGGTGCCACTGGCTGGCCAAGTGCCGTTCCCCAGCACCCCCAGCCTTCATTCACTTCCCTTGGCCACAGGGACCTCAGGGCACACTCCCACCTCAGAGTCTTTGCACCTGCTGTTCCTGCAACCTGGCGTGCTCATCCCTGGGTATCCACGTCCTTCAACAGAGAAGCCTTCCCTGGCTACTCTGTTTGTAAAAGCCCCCACCTCAGTGTCCCTCATTGCTCTCTGTGCCTGGCATATTATTCCTTCCTTCCTTCCTCCTTCCTCCCTTCCTCCTTCCTTCCTTCCTCCTTCCTTTCTTCCTCCTTCCTTTCTCCTTCTTTCTTTCCTTCCTCCTTCCTTCCTTCCTTCCTTCCTCCTTCCTCCCTCCCTCCTTCCTTCCTTCCTCCCTTCCTCCCTCCCTCCCGCCTTCCTCCTCCTCCCTCCCTTAACACCTCTTTCCTTTCCTCCTTCCCTCCTTTCCTTCCTTCCATGGTGTGTGTGAGTGGAATCTGTACACATTCCTGTGTGTACGCATGTAGAGGATAGAGGTCAACATTGAGTGTCTTCCTCAGTTGCTCTCCACCTTATTATTTTTTATTTTCTGAGACAGGGTCTCCCTGTAGCCCTAGCCAACCTAGAACTCATTAAATAGACCAGGCTGGTCTTGATCTCACAGAGATCCACTGGCCTCTGCCTCCTGAGTGCTGGGACTAAAGTGTGCACATTTTTTTTTTTTTTGGTCTTTTTGAGACAGGGTCTCCCTGTAGCCCCAGCTGGCCTGGGAGAACTTGCTATGTAAACCAGGCTGGCCTTGAACTCACAGAGGTCTGCCTGCCTCTGTCTCCCTGAGTGCCAGGATTAAAGGCATTCACCACCACACCCAGCTTATTTATTTATTTTTAATAATTAAAAAATATTTTATTTATTATTATTATTTTATGTGTATGAGTGTATTGCCTGCATGTGAGTGCACCCATGTCGTGCAGTGCCACGGAGGTCAGAAGAGGGCTTTGAATTCCCCTAGAATGGAGTTAAATGGTTCGTAGCTGCCATGTGGGTGCCAGGAATTGAACCCAGGTCCTCTGCAAGAGCAGTCAGTGCTCTTAACTGCTGAG